AAAAAAAAAAAAAAAAAATTGTGCCCTACGTTGAATAGATTCCTCAGTCTGCCATAATCACATTAACCAGTCATCATTATATTTCCCCTTAACTGTAGTAGATTTTCTGGTTTTACAATGCATCTTCCTATTTGGATTACAAAAAGAACTTGTTGAGAGTAGAGATCGACATGCACGAGAATCCCATAAAGATGGAATTTCACGGTTCTTCCTCACGAGCCTACCCGGGGAGAAAAGGTGCTAAATGTGGAAAATATGGGCAAATTCTACTTATTGACATGAGTTTGCCTAACATGTGTCACAGCAGAAGTCAAGGCCATTTCTCAATAGCGACTCCTTTCATCAAAAAAAGCAAAAGACGATACCTTTATTGGATAGTTGGGTTTGTGAGGGGATTTTTGGGATTTGGATTTATTGGGGTTTGCTGAGAATTATAGAAGTGAGATCTTCAAATGGGTAAAAGAACTCAGGAAATGGAGAAGGAAGCAGACGAAGAAGAAGGTCTAAAAATGTATTGGGAAGAGTAAGACGCACCATACACAACACAAGTTCTTACTTCACTTCAAAAATACAGTTCAGGAAAAACATAGAATCATCCATAACCACATTACCAAACTAGAATGCAGCAAAAACATCATATAAAGCTTAAATAGCAAGAAAGACAAACCATTTGAAGCATCATCAAATGCATGCTCCTCTTATTAACGGCACGAAAACAATTCTTCTTGCGAGCAACAAATCCTCATCAAATGATACAAACAGCTCAAATCCAACCAAACACCTCAAGAAAACAATACTAAATTACCAAATCATAAACCAGACCTTACCTCAAATTCATCCAGCCTTCTCCCACTACACTTTGGCCTTCCTAGCAAGCTTCGACCATTCAGTATGGTACGCCCCTGGCTGATCAACCCTTTCATAAGTATGGGCCCCAAAATAGTCCCTTTGGGCCTGCACGAGGTTAGCCGGAAGCCTCCCACGCCTGTAAGTATCGAAATACTGCAAGCTTGCTGACATTCCAGGGACACTAATGCCCTTCTGAATGGCCAAGCCAACTACCCGCCTCCAAGCCGCCTGTCTCTGAACCATCTCCCGAGCAAATTCAGGGTCGACCAGCAAATTTGCAAGTCCCGGGTTCCTCTGGTAGGCTTGCTTAATCCTATCCAAGAAAACGGCCCTAATGATACACCCGCCTTTCCAGATCCTAGCCAGCTCACCCAAATTCAAGCCCCACCCTTTCTCCATACTCTTTGCCCTCAGCAAGTTCATCCCCTGCGCGTAACTGCATATCTTTGACGCGTAAAGCGCCTGTCTAACATCGTCAATCAATCTCTTCTTATCACTGGAGCCCACGCTGTTGATTTCCTCCTTCAAACCCTCGTTCTTGAAAATCTCGGCTGCAGCCTCTCTTTCCTCTTTCAGACCACTCATGTACCTACTGTCCAGTGAGGCTGCAATGGTGGGTGCAGCTATAGAGAGCTCGGCAGCTTGCTGCACGGTCCATTTCCCGGTCCCTTTCATCCCTGTCTTATCCAGAATCTTATCCACCAAGTGCCCTTTTCCGGTCTCTTGATCCTCCACCTTGAAAATATCGGACGTGATCTCGATCAAGAAGCTCTCGAGCTCCCCACGGTTCCACTCCCCGAAAATCTCGGCCAGCTCTTCATTCCCCAAACCTCCGGCGTTCTTCAGAACATCGTAAGCCTCGGAGATCAACTGCATATCGCCGTATTCGATTCCATTGTGGACCATTTTGACGAAATTGCCCGATCCGCCTTCCCCAATGTAGGTGACGCAGGGCCCGTCGTCTACCTGGGCCGCCACCTTCTCGAGTATGCCGTGGATGTTCAGGTAGGCCCGGTGGGACCCGCCGGGCATCAGGGATGGTCCGTACCGGGCCCCGTCCTCCCCGCCGGAGACCCCCATCCCTAGGTACAGCAGGCCGGCGGCGGAGGCGTCCATCATGCGGCGCTCGGTGTTCTCGTACCACTCGTTCCCGCCGTCGACGATGGTGTCTCCGGGCTCCATGTGGGCAGCAAGGGCGGCGATGGTCTGGTCAACGGGGGCGCCGGCCTTGACGAGGATGATGATGGAACGGGGCTTCTTGATGGAGAGGACGAAGTCCCGAGGCGTGTAGTGGCCAGAGAGAGGGAGCTGGCCCTCCCGGTGGGCGCGATCTAGGGTTTCGTCGACCTTTGAAGTGGTGCGGTTGTAGACGGAGATTGGGAACCCCTTCTCCGCGATGTTGAGGGCGAGGTTCTGGCCCATCACGGCGAGGCCGGCCAGGCCGATTTGGGATAGCGTGGATGACGCCATTTGTGCTTGGCGGCGGCTAAGAGCTTTGAAGTGCGAGCTTGAATCTTGGCTATGGCGGAGTAAGCGAGGATGAAAATGTTACGGAGGTTCAAAAGCGATAAGCAGGTATAAAAAAGGAGCACCATAACTGGATCTCATGGGCGAGGGAAAATGACATAAGTATCCTCCACCTGAATTTAATCTGATTAACAATTTTTTTTACTGTTAAATTTAAATAAACAAATAATTCTTAATAAAAAAAAAAAATATATATATATATATAGGTGTGAAACATTAGAATGAGTAAATATTAAAGTAATAGAACATGAAATGATAATTTTCCATACACTAGTAAATGTTTTGTTAATTTGCAAACAAATGTCTAATTTTGATCCTCCTGGATTAGGGGTATATTAGTAATGTAATAGATGAGTAAATATTAAATATATTGTGGTGAGGGAGGTGTGTGTCGCGTGGTGAAGGGCTCTGTCTCATTCGCAATACGACGAATATTCCAATGTGCCATTCAAACGTCGTCGTATTGAGTGGGCCGTGTTTTGTTAGCTCGCAAATGAAAAGAGAAATATCTCCGTAAATAGTTGGGCTAATAAAAAATGGGGTGCATACTAATGATTTTAGTCCATAGTTTTAAAAAAATTGGGCTTTGACTCGGGCTTGACTCTGGGTCACCGGTCCAATTCATGGTCACCAGGTCAATTGTTTAACCGAATAATTGGTTTTATAAATGTTAAATTATATTTAGTTTATAATTATACGTCCAATTCATGGTCACCAGGTCAATTGTTTAATCGAATAATTGGTTTTATAAATGTTAAATTATATTTAGTTTATAATTATACATAAGATAGTGAAGGTGAGTTATTTAAATTTCATACCACAAAGTCTTAATAATATTGTATTTTGTTATAATAATTACTATATATATGTAATATTTTATTTTAAAAGATAAAGAAGTAAAAAACAAAATTAAAAATATTTTATAGTCGGGTCAGCCCGAGTTGTCCGTATCGGGTCAATACCCGAGTCGACCGCGTCTAGACCGGGTTCCTTGGCCCGATCCGAACAACCCACCCTAAACCGGAGCATGCTATCTATTTTTAAGCATATGATTTCATTGTGAACATTTTATGCTTCCCCATTTTTTGGACACAAAGGGCAAGATCAGCTACAAAATTTTATCTATTTTAAATGATGGAACAAATGTTTTACACTATTTAGCCCAAAATATAATTTTAATTTATCCAATCAAATTCTTATCAATATTGTCAATAAAATCAAGTATACAAATCAATCATCCATACGATATTTTAATTCATTATTTATACATTCATATATTTTTATCGATTTTGCTATAAAGTCAATCGTTAGCTCTATAATAGAATCAATCTTCTAAATACAACAATTAAATCATATCACATTTTTTGATTATTTAAATAACACTAATAATTTTATTAATATAGTATAATTTACTTGTTATATATAGAATGTTGGCTCCATTATAGAGCTAATAGTTGGTTTCATAGCAAAACTAAACTTTAACTATTAACTCACAAACCAACAAAAACATGTTAAACCTTAAACTTTTAATTTTAGCTTAATCATTATTTACAGTGGTAGCTTAGATTTGAAGAAGAACCCATCATCATCAATACCTCAAAATCACCACCACTGATTCACACCAGAAATTAGTTCGTGCTCCTCGTTTGTTCGTTGTAGGGCCGCTCTCAAAAGCTCGATCTCGCACCAGAACGGCAGAACCTACCCAAAAGGAAAAATCTGAAGCACTCTGCTCTTGAAACGACGACGTAAAAGGTGAAATGGGTAGCCGGGGCTCGATGAATCACCGGCTGCCATCGTCGTCTTCTAGATTCGGTAGCCGGGTTTCGTTCTTGATGCTTTCAATGTTTGCTACCATGGCTTCCGTTTATGTAGCGGGAAGGTATGTATAAGCTTCTCTACTGCTTAAACGCACGACCTTAGCTCGGCCCCATTTCGATTTTTCTTTTTATTATTCCCCAAATTTTTCATCATTAAAGGTTGTGATGAAATGGGTTGGTGTAGATTGTGGCAGGACGCGGAGAACCGAGTTAATTTGGTTAACGAGCTTGATAAGAGAACTGGCCAGGTGAAAAGCTATTTCCTATTTGGCTGATTTTAGAACTTTTAGCATTTGCTGATTATTGTTGAAAACTTGTGAGTTGTCCCACATTGATTCTATAGGGGAAATGAGCCTAGTATATAAACTAAGCCTAGTGGGCTATTCCTCACATCACCAATTGGTTTTGGGATGAAACCTCAGTAAGGTGCATCTCGGTTCACCCTCTCATGGTGCGCTTCACTTGGTGGGACCGCACCCTCTGCCCCCGGTTCTCATAATTTAAAAGCTAAGGTGAATGAAGAGGATAAAGAAAATGAAGGTCTCACTCAAAATGGGTTTTTTTTCCCCTCATAGATAATAATAGCTTTTGAGAAATTAATGCCAGCGAGTTCAATGGCAGATTGGGTTTGACACTGATGGGTATACATATGTTCTACGTACTGAAAGATCCTTTGGGTTGAATGGAAGTGAAGGATAACAATGATTAGCAATGTTAAGTGATACAACATTGGTTACTGGTCCTTTTATATAACATTCATAACTACAATTGACACCATCTTTTTGTTGCTCTATCTCAGGGAAAGTCTTCTGTATCTGTTAAAGGCACATTAAAAATCATTGCCTGCAGGTATTTTGTGGTGCCCGTTGTTACTTTAGTGTTTGGTTGAATCAGTAAACGCCTGATTTGATCATCTTTTCATTTGGCAGGGAAAATCAGAAGAAGTTAGATGCTCTTCATGTGGATCTTGAAAAGGCTAAGCAGGAAGGATTTGTGACTAAGCATCTAACCGATGGGACTTCAAAGAAAAAACTTTTGGCTGTAATAGGGATAATAACAATGTTTGGACGCAAGAACAACCGAGATGCAATTCGAAAGGCCTGGATGCCTACTGGTATTCGTTCGTGCATGAATAACTTGTCACTTTTTCATTTCTTGTGAAAAAAAAAA